GTCTATAAAATAAGACATGACTAATAAAGCGTTTTTTTATAGTTTTTAGAAAATTTTGTCTTTTAACAAAATTGACTTGATGGATGTTTGTTTAAATGTATCTTCGGTACGACTAAACGGATTTTGATGAAATTTTGCAGAGATGGAGAACATAGTCTGGAAGAACACATAAGCTACTCATTAAGTTTTTTTTTAACTCCGCGCGGACGGAGTCGCAGGCGACAGCTAGTAGATATAAGTTCATCACGAGACTTATATGGTGCGTTTTTTTTACAGGCTGGTAGTTTCTGTTTAACAGAACCCACGTCTGGTTCTGATGCGTTCGCATTGAAGACTGTCGCGAAGAAGGATGGCAACCATTACATCATCAACGGCTCCAAGATGTGGATCTCCAACTCTGATGTGGCCGGAGTCTTCCTTGTCATGGCCAACGCTGACCCTAGCAAGGTTAGTAACAGTCGAGGAAATATATTTCCTACCCATGTCATTTGCAACATAAGTATGCAAATTATTACGTTAATACTAGTTTATAGTACAATCATCATCAGCTCACTATACGTCCCCACCGAGGGACTCGGAGCCTACCCTAAGTTAAGGGTGATTAAGCCATAGTCAACCACGCAGGCCAAGTGCGGGTTGACTTCAAACATATTTTTTAATTTCTTCTCAGATATGTACAGCATCACGATGTTTTCCTACACTGTAAGAACGTCGGATAAATGTACATATGTTAATCGAAAAATATATTGGTATGTACCGGGATTCGAACATAGAACCTGAAGATTGCAAGTGGTTAAACCTTGAGTTACTGATGCTTTTTAAAAAATATTTTAAAATATTAATATATATATATATAAAATTCTCGTGTCACAATTTTCGTTTCCATACTCCTATGAAACGGCTTGACAGATTCTCATGAAATTTTGTGAGCATATTGAGTAGTTCTGAGAATCGGACATCTATTTTTAATCCCGCGCGGACGGAGTCGCGGGCGACAGCTAGTGATATATAATTCAATGATTTATTGTGAAATGTTTATGTTCCAATAATATTGACCTATTCTCCCTTATCATATTTGTATGTATGACGCAAGTTTTTGTGACTATAATTTACATATAAATTACGTTTTAAAATGTATCAGTTCTTATGACTATGCCTATGAGCACTTTTACACAATTTATTAAATTAAAAAAAATCTCGTAGAAAATACTTGTAGTTTATCTTACTAATATTATAAATGGGAATGTTTGGATAGATGTTTGTTAGAGAGTATCCCCAGAACGGCTACATAGATGTCGCTGAAAATTAGGGACCTTCAAGAAGCGAGCATACTATTTCCTTAAAGGCCGGCAACGCATCTGCGGTTCCTCTGGTGTTGCAGATGTCCATGGGTGTCGATGTTCACCTCGGTGTTCCCGCCGCTCGTTTGACCCCTTCTCTTATATTATAAAAAAAACACAGATGTAGAACATAGTCTGGAAGGACACATAGGCTACTAATTTTTTCTTAACATCGGACGGAGTTGTGGGCGACTGCTAGTCTTATTAATATTATAAATTTGAATGTTTGAATTGATAGATTGATGTTTGTTTGATATCTCCAGAACGGCTTCGTAGATGTTGCTGAAATTTGGCATAAATGTAGAACATAATCTGGAAGAATATATAGGCTACTAAGTTTTAATTCCGCGTGAACGGAGTCGCGGGCGACAGCTAGTTGAAGATAAATTTGAAAAAATATTTTTTTTCAAATACGTCTTTATGTTTACTACAGAAAGATTCTAAAGAAATACGATAAAAAATCGTATTTGTTTTACTTATTGCAATCGGACACCTTTTTAACGCCAAAATTATTTTTTAAAAGTATCGTGCGTAATTAATTAGTTAGTTTTGCATAAGTTTAAGGTCGTTCATCAGACTTGATTGGGTACATTAAACTTCCTTCAAAACAATACGAAGATATAATTTGATAGTTTCTATTGTTTTTGAGAAAATATCGCAACAATAACAAAATTAATCGTAACATTTATTTTCGTACTTTAGTATACTAGGTGTCGACCGCAACTCCGTCTTCGCGGTATTAAAAAAAAACTTAAGTAGCCTAGGTGTTTTGCAGTTTAAAGCCGTTCCGCTGATAACTTCTAACAAACATCCAAACATCCGCATTTATAATATTTAGTAATATATTTATTTAATTATTAAAAAAGTATTTAGGTTTCTATTTCATTTATTCAACAAAAGATGGCACTTATCTGATACTTGTCACTGAAATAGGGCTACAAAGGGATCACGTGCTTCATAGTGGAGCGCGAGACTCCGGGCCTGAGCGTGGCGAAGCCCGAGGACAAGCTCGGCATCCGCGCCTCCGGGACATGTATGGTGCACTTTGACAATGTACGCATACCTGAAGAAAACATCCTCGGAGAGTACGGACACGGGTAAGTGTTGCCACTACACAATCTTACAATAACTCAGTGGTGTTGCCATCACAAATATACATCGATATATGATTTAATTAAAGGGAATAATTGGAAATATAACTGTGGTAGAATATGAATGTGTCGGTTCGATGCAATACCACAACCACACAGAAGACAGGCAAGTGGAAGTCATTCTGCGTACAGTCTTATGAGTGTGTGTGTTCCGGAGACTTGATTTAAGTCCGTTCCCTTCCCACAGTATTCTTATAACGAGAGTATAGAAATGGATTAGATGGAGAAGGGGAGGTAAATTTCTTAAAAAATCTCTTATAAAACCAGTTAAAGGTAGGTACAGCATCTTCAATTTCGGATGTCTATCGGCAGCAGTCGCTTCGCCATTTCGGCGAATTCAGTGAGCCGCTTGCACGTTCGCCATTTTATAATTAAAGAAAATCCTTCAGTAGACCTTTTGAGCTATCTGTAATTCAGAGTGCAAGGACACTTAGAGTAAAAACAGAAAAGCAAGCGCTATTTATCATTTTTACGAGATTCATAGTGAAGGATATCTGGTTAAAATTATATCTTTTTTCCCCACAAACAATCCATGTGGTTTAAGGTTCCCATTTTATGATTTTTCTGGTCCTTTTTGTTAGATACAAGTACGCAGCGGGCTTCTTAAACGAAGGTCGTATCGGCATCGCAGCGCAGATGATAGGACTCTGCCAGGGTTGCATGGACGCCACCATCCCTTACACGCTGGACAGAAAGCAGTTCGGAAAGAGTATCTACTCATTCCAGGTATGAGACTTGAAAAAACATGTTTTAAGATATTCACTGACACATTTTTATCTGAAGTAAAGCATTGAAAGTGTTAACTTGGCGTTAAGTGACATTTTTTGAATAACCATAAAAATATGGTAGCAAAAATCAGACAAAGAAGATAGAGAAAATACTCTTGAAGAGTTCCAATATTTCTCAAAGCAGATCATTCCTTAATTTGTCAAGACAGGAAGTTGCCACTAAAGCTGTACATCACAACTACCAGTCCCCCATGACTCCATTCGCACGGAATTAAAAGAAAAACATAATTAATAGCCTATGTTCTACATCTATGCCAAATTTCAGCAACATCGATGCAGCCATGCTAAAGATAAATTCAAACATACATGTAAACATTGGTATTTATAATATTAGTAAGATTACTTCAAATGAATGTTACTTCACTGTATCACAGGGTATAAGCTACCAGATAGCACATCTCCAGACGGAGCTGGAAGCAGCGCGTCTGCTCACTTATAATGCGGCCAGACTCAAGGAGAATGGTGTACCATTCGTCAAGGAGGCCGCTATGGCTAAATACTTTGCCTCGGGTAACTAAGTTCTTAAATCATCATCATCAGCTCACTATACATCCCCACCTAGGGGCTCAGAGCCTACCCTAAGTTAAGGGTGATTAGGCCATAGTTCTTAAATAAAACCTCACAAATAACTGTTATAGCCACTTCAATTAATACCTTCTATTGGAAATATCAAAACTATTACCATTGTTATCAAAATTATTAGATTTCCATTTAGAAAAAAAAACATTTTACAAAATTTTGTGAGATTTTAAACAATTTCTACATTATTTCATGGAGAAAAAAAGCAAAATTTACAATTTCTTCATTTTTCGCAACTATTTCTAATTATAAATATATTTATTTCAGAAATTGCACAAACTCTAACATCGAAATGCATCGACTTTATGGGTGGCGTTGGCTTTACAAGAGATTTCCCGCAGGAGAAATTCTTCAGGGACGCTAAGATAGGCACCATCTATGAAGGAACCAGCAATATGCAACTGCAAACTATTGCCAAACTAATCGAGAAGGAATACAAACAGTAATTTTTAAAATCTGGCAACATTTTCTAATCAAATCAGTGTTGCCATTACTTTACATATAAACTTTTGTATATTTTTATTGTAAATAAATTGATATATTGACATAATTAATGTATTTTTTATTTGACTTTTTATTTGCAAAATACTAAATGAAATATGAATGTGTGTCAATTTTTTTATCAAAAAATATTTGGTCAAAATAACTTATTTTAGAGATTCAGCTCGACTTCAAATAAATTTCACAGTTTAAAAAAATGTTGAACTTATATAGAACAGGTTTTATTCCAATAAGAAACAAAATAAGTTTGCTAAGCCCATTTATTCACAAATATTAATCACTACTGATTTTCATATAATTCACTTTGGATCATGAGGAAGTTTGAATCCAACCATTCTGGCTGTATCTTCAACACTCCTTTCACCTTTTCCTTTAAACTCAGTATTTATCTCTTTATATCTTCTACAATTATGAAGATATGCAAAGTAAGATTTGGCCTTGAAATGCATTTCATCAATAGCTTTACAGTATTGCTGGTCTGTTGTTTGATGTTTCCTATACTGTTGCAAAATGTACTGAACCATTTGATTCTCAGACAATGCTTTTGTAGTACTCTGCTTTCTTATCTCTGATAATATCTTTCTCAACGTCACAAGTGCTGGTTTACTTGTAATAGACGCCATTTCAACCCTTAAAACAATTCAAATGTTCAATTTTTCAATCATCTCTGTTGTTATAAATTCTTCCATATCATCATATTTAGGTTTTTCCGGTTTGTTCCAAAAATTACTATCAACTTTAGACAATTCTCCCTTCTTAATGTAATGGATTGAAGTATCATTAAATATATCTTTGTACTGAAAACTATTGTCTAAAATAACTTCATCAAGATATTTTGATAATTTGTAAATGTAAGGTACCATTTCTGATAACATTCTACTTGGATGATTTTCTAATAAAGAAGTAAAACTATTGCAAAGGAGAATGCAATTTTCTAAACGAATATCCCAGTTACTCCAAAGAAAGTTGTTGGTTAACTGTTTAGGACAATGTGGCAGGTATACTACAGTGATATTTGTGTTAGATATTACATAACTTCCTTCATTATTTTCCTCAATAACTATCAGTCCTAAACGTTTGAGTAATTCACATTCACCAATATAAAATATAGGATCGTGAACTAACACTTTAAGGGGTTTAAAAGAATCTTTTAAACATAACAAAAATGCGAGTTGATATCGAGAAATATTGCATTCTCCCACATGCCCTAGACCGAAACAAACTATTTCAGATATATTTCTTTCGTTTAAAAATGTACTCACTGCTTTTAAAACGTCGTTGTAAAATTGCGATCCTTCCAAATCTTTAACAGCGGATAAAACTCTTCTGGAATAATACCAAATGTCATTAATACATAACCTAAGATTACCTTTTGCATTTGTAAACATTTATACTTACTGATAAGATTTTTCAACGTTAATTTCGTTTTCTTCTTTTATAAAATGCGAAGCTTTGTACGGAACTTTGGTTTGTTTATTCTTAGCTGAACGTTTTGAAGAAACTATTTGAAAACCATCGCTATCTTTTTCTTGTTTTGACATTTTGAAATTAAAAATTTTGTATTGAGTGAAGATTGGCAGCTAATGACAACTTTTGTCATTTTAGTGGTGCGATCATTTTAAAACACGTACATAACAAGAAGTATTTTATAATTGATTTCCTAAGTATTCAAATAATTTGGCAGTATAAATTCCAAGACTTTAGTAGGATTAATAATAACATTTCTTCTGTCAATAGATGTGTTCATATACTTAATTAAAATTAATGGGACAGACGCCTGCAAACTTTTTAAGAGCAATTCTGTATATTGAAGTAAAAATCTGATCAAGAGTAAAGTTCGCAAGAGATATTGACATAAAATAATTGTTGCAAATTTACTTATAATATGAATGGTCAAGCAGATTAATAAAATAATTTTGCGATGGAATAATAACGTCGGTATGTACATAATTCACTCAGTTACGGTATGGCGGAATCTTTACTTCTCTAGTGTAACTGTTCTACTTATAACTAGTTAAAACTAGTTAGATGGGAAGAAATTACGTTATCTATTCGTGAGTGCAATATTTTTGCATTAATTGCATTTTTGCATTTTTGCATTTGATAACATCAATAGACGTAATATCTTGCAGAGGTGTGTGATAATTTATTGCCGTAAGAAAATTACATATTTAGGAATGTATGAAATAATAGTAATTTTACATGCCTTGTAACAAAGAGGCTTGTTATTGTTTTTCCATGTTTTTATTATTTGTAAAATGTAAGAATTATACAAATGAAATTTAGTTTCACATTTTAAACAATAAATATAACAAAAGACAAAGTTAATTGAAGAAAGTATGCATTTTTGCACACTTTGGTTTATTTATTTGTCGTCATTCTTGTGTCCGTTTTTAGATGCTCCATTGTTTGGAGTGTGTGTCACCGCGTACTTTGCTGATTGATATATTGGCATCCAAATTAAATTAAAGTCTGGACTGTAGGTAGTGTAGTTGCTGTGGGTTTTAAATTTACTGGTTACTTGAAACTTTGAACTAAACGCAAGTAATAGAATTTTAAAAGACAATTTTAAGACTTTATTTGTTATTTTTTTTTTAGTTTTTTCAAAAACCAAGCTACTAGCTAGCTAGCTAAGTTACTAGAGACTTATCATGTCGGTTGGTTTTTTAAATGACGTATTCAATTGAATCATTGTAGACATATGGGCGTTTATATTACAATTAAACATATCTACGATCTATGTACGATGACTTATATGACAAACATAATGTCTGTACAACCACCGTATTGAATATTAATAAGGGCCTTGATATTTTGGAAAGCTAACGATTTGTGAAAGACACAAAGACGCAAAACAAAGTTATGAAGTTTAAAATTATGACTTATTTCACACTAAGAGTCACTTTAATGGTAAATAAGCTGTTCCTTAATGTATATTAAGCTAAATAAAAGCTTAGTAATACATAGTGCATTAAACAAAATACGAGAAGCTGCTGATGTTTTTTTTCTTAAAAGTAAAAGTCAATAATAATACGCTTAGTTTTATCTAGAATTTTTTTTATCACCAACTGATAAATCTATATCGATGGGGTTTGTTTTATTGAACGTTTTCGAGAGCCAGTGCGACGTCATTAGGCAATAGGTTTATCGTGTTTACTGTAACGGAACTGGATATTTAACCTTCATTTCAGAAACTAAGCTTATTTTATTTATATTGGAACATTCGTTTGTAAAACCATCCCCCAGCGTAGGGCAACTGGGAGATACAAAAAATCAATACAAAAGTTCACAATAACTTACTTTTATGAGACTCGGGGGAAAATAACGAATTGAATCATAACACTTCCTAGATTATACAATTTATTGAATAAAAACCTACGCTAAGGGCTACTTAAGCATGCATTAAATCCATAGAGTGCATCATATATACATACATTAATCGCCAAAAGCCTTATGAGTCGGCCAAGAATGTGATAGTCTATGTCCAAGTGTGACAAACTTAACCAATTCCCACAGAAACGTCCTTGATCAAGTATTTAGGGTATAAGAGTATGACAAAGAGGTACGTTCTGTGTGTGGCATACGAAGTATCCATTGTCGTTTGTCCGTCGCAACCCGAATGGCAGTCGAGTTTGAGCGGAATTCAAATCACGCCAATGTATTGGTTCCAACTTACCGTAACGCAAATAAGGCACAATAACAAGGTTACACATTTTTTTCGTGTTTCTAAGGATTTGTCCCGTTTATTTTGACCTGGGTTAACTTTTTAGAAATAAGTCTATAAAACAAATCGATGGTTAACGTAGTTGATGGATGAATGAACAAAGGCATTTGGTGAAAACTCTGAACTAACAGAGTGTAAATAAATATTTGACGCTGAGAAAAGAAACCGAAAGATCGAACCAAAGTAAGATATTGGGACAGCAAAAATGTATAATAATTAAAAAATAAACAAGCTTAAAAGCTTGTTAATTAACAGATCTAAAAATAAAAACTAAGCCTTTTGTCAAGACGATGCAACCCCAAACTTGATGAGGTTATGTCGTTTCATTGCGAAGTTACTATGGCTATCTTCCAGATTTATCATCAGATCAGGACAATGTCATCCTAATATTGGTTTGTCACGCGATTCACACAAGTATGCAAAATTTCAGCTCAAACAGTAACCGGAAAGTGCATCAAATTTGCAAGATTTGATGACAAATACGAGATATGTAAAACTAAATAAAAGTTTGTATGTAAAAACTCTTTCTGAAATGTTTTTTTTAAGTAAATCTGAGGGAAATCCTGTCATACGTACCAAGATAATACTACTTTGGTATCTTTACAATTCAAACTTCCAATCACAAATCAAAATAAGTAATATTTTAACCCTTAGCTAATCTATGTATAACTTCTGTTGTCAAGTTTACGTTTTATAAATAAAAAGGGTCTTGACAGATGGACAGACAACAATGCGATCCTATAAGGGTTCCGTTTTCTTCCTATGAGGTACGGAACCCTAAAAAATATGCAAATTAGTGCGTATATAATATATCTTTATGTAAGATGTTAGCGCATGAAATGTTTCTCACCACAGGGGGCGTTATTATTTATGCAGAATTTATTATAATCTTAGATCTAATGGCAATCTTTACTTTTACAATATTATCATAAAAATAATTTGCATATTTAGATTAAAACTAGCTGTCGCTCTCGTCTCCGTCTGTGCGGAATGATTTACTTAATTAGTAGCCTATGTGTTCTTCCAGAGTACTCTCTATATGTATGCCAAATTTTAGCGAGGTCAATACTGTTCTGGAGATACCTTCAAACAAACATCCATCCATCCAAACATTCGCATTTATAATATTAGTATGATAATAAGTTATTGGCACTACTTTATATAATTTTCTCAAATGGGCAAGTAATTTATTCATACGAGATGAATTTTAATGCGCTAACATAGACTAAAGAAAGTGCTCTTTCACTATTGATTATTTCTGTTTTTATATATTATTAATTTAAATTTATCTACTATAATCTGTACTCCTAATTTTCTGAATTGTCGCAAAGATGTAGACTAGTAACCACAGACTCCCAATAAGTATACTTTTCTATAGCCTAATCGGAAGCATAAAAGTGAGCCTCAAAAGGGCCACTGAAGGCCTTTTGCTTAGGTAAATTACTACGGTGTTGTAACTCATTATACGAAAATCAACTCTCGATTAGACGTCAAACACTAGATTCATGTTCAGGTATTTAATTAGGTTTTTTTTAGTCGCAATTGTCTAAACTTCTCAATCGTAATATAACTAATAGAAGCCCATTGCATACTTATGTAATTCTAATTATTTTATAAAACAATATTCCATAACGAATATATATAAATAGTAAGTAATTTTGTATTTACAAGTAAACGACTTATTCGTAATTGAATAATATAATTTAATTTAATGAATACGTGTACACCTTTATGAGATTTGTAAGTATCTGACACACTACAAGAACAACTACAAGTGCAAAAGTGGGACTGTCCCACGATAAACATACAATTTGGCAGCCTTACAATGCGAGTAGTCAGTAAACGATATTATTAAACCAAAGCGTAACAACAGGACGACTCGTACGCTCCTGTCAGAAAAGCGCGCGCAAAAGTTTTTTTTTTTTAGCTTTAAATCCAAAGACAATTGTGGAACTTTCTTTAAACTAGTCTATGCTTTGTTTATATGTTTAGATACGTGTAATTAATTCTGTTCTCGTTATTTTTATATAATTATTCTAATGTGCCGGTATGGTTAGAGATTTGTTTTGAGTTAGGATTTAGTTTGAACGCTCTGGTGTTTAATGACGGTAGTGTTGTGCGAATTTATTTGTGTATTTAGTGTTTAGTTTAATTTAGAAAAAAATGGAACGTTACGTTGTTAATAGACATTCGAAGAAGCGTAAAAGTAATGATGGACTTCTATTAAAATGGAGAAAGAAATACAATAACTTGAGAAAACGTTCCTGGGTAACCAATGGATATGATTTAAACGTAAGTTATTTTACAATGTCAATTATATATTTAGGTAATAATCATAGTCCTTAATACATTTTAATATTACCACTAATGTATTACTATATATTCCTGAATTACCAACGATTTTATTATTATTATAGAAACCAACGATAAATATATTGTCATCTTTGTTTTTCAAAGGAGTTTTTCAATGATAATGACAGGGATAACGATATACAGATATTATGGTCTCAGTTAAAATTGATTATAAACATGATTTTGAAAGGAAAATTAAAAGGGTTCTAATATATTGAAAATCTAAGCATATGATAAAAAAATAGAAAATACGAAAGTTTTTTAAAGCATTTTGAATACAAACAATTTAGTATAGTCCCATTGATTTGACTGGCTAGTTATTAAACGTGCATAATTAAATATAACTAGGTGATTTATATCGAATATCATTATGTATTGATTATATACATTAAGCGTCAATAGCCTAATGGTTAAGGGTACGGATTTCCGATCACGAGGTCGGGGGTTCGAATCCCGCAATTCGACTATGTCGTAAACCATATCCTAGCACAAGCTTAGAGCTTATTTGTAATGTTTAAAGAAATATTAGTAAATTTACAAAAAAAACTGCTAATATTTTTCTAAAAAAAACTATAAATCCATACCTTTCTATGTATTATAATAAATAATTACATTATATGCTTATTATAAGTGGTATTGCATTACATCTTCGACAATGTCACATAGTCACGATCCAGTCGTTGAGATAAACCGCTTCAGATCACGGACTTGGAGGAAAATCTATCTTAATTGATATAAGACACTTTATAGTAGATTTATTTATAGCAAATATTAATCCTACATCTTACTAATATGCGAATGTTTGGATGGGTGTATAGATGTTTGTTTAAAAATATCTTCAGAACGGCTGAACGGATCTCGAAGTTATTCCAGAATTTCGCTCGATTTATCAAGAGCAAACGTAAAAATCAATCCATGTTTAATTAATTTTCAATTTTATTTGTGATAACAATCTGCTCTGCTCTCCGGCCCGGTCTTTGTGAACGAATCTTTCGTTTATTGAAAACTGCATGAAAATTCGTCCAACAAATTGTGATCGCCGGTAACTGGTTTCACGCGGAATTCAGAAAATACTTAATAAGTAGCATGTGTTCTTCTAGGCTAATTCTGCAACTATGCCAAATTTCAGCTAGATCCGTTGAGTCGTTCTGGAGATACCTTTTAACAAACATCCATCCGTATATTTCATGATAGTTGAATGACAAGAAGCAACGCTTATACCACTGGTTTTCAATTTATAACTTTTCCGTAATAAATAATATCGGAACATGTTTACTAAACACGAAAACATATAATTACTGCGAAGTAATGGTTCGTGAAAAAACTCATTAGTTGCATATACATATAAAAAGCATAAACAATGATGAAAATAGTAAGAAATAATCATTGAAATTTCGTTATTAAGTTTCCATTTGCGATTTTTTTTTAAATTAGGACCATAAACAATTTAGGTACACGACAATAATCGAAAAACGGCTTTAAACCTACGACTTTACGTTCATACTTTTAACAATTATACTTTTCGTGCTCCCTTATAACATATTGTCTATTCATAATTGCATCTGCAATTATACCAGTTGTATGCGGTGATTATGAGCACTATTGTCGTACTGTTGATATCACAAAAACTATCCGAACAGGGCAATCCAAACCTTTATAATAAACTTCTGTTATAGTTTAAGAAACAGATAGATAAATAGAAAGAGATAGACAATAAGCTGTCTTCTAATTCATGAGGTAACTATTCATTTTAAAATCAGTCAACTAGAATCAACTAGAATCAACGCCAGTTTATATTCGTTATATCACAAACTAGAAGTGCTTGTATGTTAATATATAACTTGCTTAAAGACTATTTTTCTTTAACATTTCACTGTTAGATAATATTACAAGCAAAGAAACAAGTTCTTAGTAGTTCTTAGTGCATATAAGAGAAATTATTAATTACATTCCTTGCTATCTGAAACTACAGCAGCGAACAGCGATTGAAGATTAAAATTTAAAACAATATAACTTTAATATATACATTATTATATATTTACAGATGCATAAAGTTGAATAAAATGAGGTTTTATAGTCAAAATATACAAAAAGAATAATTTCTTGCTTTAATATAATAATTCAAAGCATAATTTCTATGGTAATTTGTTTAAGACTCTAACGCAATTATTATATCTATATTAGTGAAAGTATGGATCGGACAGATAATCAACTATTTAATAATCTGTTTCCTTCATTATCAATATATCTTAATAGTTCGAATAACAATCCGTAACGTAGTATGGAGTTTGAGAAAACATAACCTCACTTTTATAAACTTGACATCTACATCTCCCTTTTTTAACCCCTCTTTATTTCCCTTTAAGGCTTTATCTACATTAGATATTTGTCTGATTACCTCCTTTGTTTAAAAATCTAGGTTGTAATGTCATAGTGTACTTAATTTACATTAAATTACACATTCTTTACTCACATGTAACGTGTTACAGAAATATGTCACACGATTGAACAGAACATATGTTACATACAAATTACTATTACCGACAAACAAACACACTGACCTCAATAACTTTTAAGGTTATTTACATACAACTACGAACGATTTTTATTAACTATATTTATTATTCTAAGTGGCTAGACACTTTCTCCCGCCATTTTGTTCGCTCCGAATTCGGCTTGCGCATGCGCGCCAGTGCGTAACGAAACGTTTCCTTTTAAAAAACTGTTTTGCATATGAGTAATAATATTGTTAATTACATTAAAGATCTAGTTAAGTGAAAGTTTTAATTTTTTTTTAATTTTGTGAACTTCATCAATGTGTAAAAATAAATGATTTTTATGAATTACACATACAAAAAAGTATGTAAATAAAAAAGTTAATCATAAATTATCAAGTATTTGCATTGTGTTTCTAATAACAAAAATACATTTTTTTTTTAATTTTGTCTGTCTGTCCGCAAAGCCGCGTTTGTTCTGGGATTAAAAAAAAATATAATTATGACGTCTATCTTACGTGTTAACTCTTACTATCTTACTGATGAATGTTTGGATGTATGTATGTTTGTTAGAATGTATGTACATAGTTTGGAAGAACACATAGGCCACTATTTTTTTTTATTCCGCGCGGGTGACATCTACTTTTTTATAAAGTGTTTTTTAATCACACTTTTATTTTTAAATGTTTTGGCATAACGTGCGAAACCATTGTTTACAAAGATAAACTTCAATTACGTTTCCTAAAGACGAGATATGTTAGGAAATACATTTGATTGTTTATTAATTCAACGTGTTAGATAATTGTTGTTGTTCAATTTCAATAGTACGTAAACAAATAGGAATAACATAAATATTTAATCAAAATTATTGAATAAAGAAGACGAAATAAAACAGACTATACAAGGCATAATTATATATATTAATATAAACAATGTAGATCGTCGCATTTAAAAATAATTGCACTATTTCAACATTGGTAGAGCCCGCTTTAACATCTTCGTACGAATTGGCCCGGCTCGCCCGGTGATATACCACGACTACACAGAAGACAGGCGTCAAGTGGTAGCAATTCCGTGTTTCGTCTGATGAGTGTGCGTCCCGGAGGACTGATTTAGTCCTCTTTCCCTTCCCACCGTTTTTCTTATAAGGAAAAGATGGGAAGTGGAAGTGGACTTACCGGATGAGAGGATGCAAGGCCCTTTCCATATCAAATTTCCATTCAAATATTTTATTTGTGTGTATCCTCTCCTCCTTCGTTTGAAAGTGGGCGGGGCGACGCATATGCAATTGCGTATGTCTATGGGCAGCGGTCGCTTCGCTGTTTCAGCGATTTCAGGTGGCCGCTCGCTCGTTTGCCATCTTATGATATAAAAAAAGACAGACATATCGCACTAGTAAATGCAAATGATTGGATGGATGGATATTTTTTACTTGATCCAGAACTGTTGAACGGATCTACTTATTAAGTTTTATGTTATTCAATGTAGACGGAATTGCGGGCGACAGCTATCTTATTAAAGTGAAGAATAGATAGAAAAAAATTGAAGTAAAATATTTAGACCAAAATGAAATGGAAAGCGATGTTTTATTTTGTATAAATAATATGACTAGTATCAAAAACCGTCTCCCACCGCATATTTGAACTTTACCGAAAAGGTCACCGTCGAAGTACGTCAAAATGTACTAGCATTGTGTAAAATTATTCCTATATATAAAGATAAAAGAGACAGATAAATAGGTGGTGCATAAATAATTTACTAATTACTTAAAAATTTCATAATAAAAGCCTTTAAAATCATATCTATAGTTGATACAATCTATCGAACGTGCATTGCAAAGGTAGTTTTTACGTCATAATGGTGATTGACTATAAATTCGCTTAACATGCTAAATGAATTTATACTCTTTTCCTTTCGAATAAAGTTCAATATCTTTATTAAGTAAAGTTCATTGCGACATGATCACGAAGCAAGACAACGTTTGAAACGCTATACTTGTTTCGTAGTTTAGTTGTCTACCGAGTGCTTTGCGGCAAAGGTTCTGAATTGTGTTAAAAACCATCATAAAATAATATTTAATTTAAAAAAAATACGTTTCGGCTTGACACAAAATTTACAATCCGAAAAGTTTTTATTAAAAAAATACAGATTAAAAACATAATAATCAAAGTGTCGTAAGCAACGTGACATTTGGCGCCATTACTAATGCAGTGACCTTGACATTGACAGAAAACAGATAAAAAATAGACAAAGCGTTACGAAACATGTAAAAAGTGCGATTCGTTAATTCCGTTGTAGCGTGTCGGATTGATTTGGTTACAAGAGTGGCATCAAAGGTGACATAATGCCACAGATTTTCTTCAAAAAAGTCATGGTGGTGCGAGACCGCGAGGACATAGAGGTGAATACTTTCGCTTTTAGCTGTTATTCTTTATACTAGAACTA